TATCACTGAATAATTTTTTTTTTTTAAATGAAAAGAGGTAGATAAAAAGAACAATTTGAATCCAATTGCTCAATCATAGAACTACTTTCAGAAGTAGAACTCCAAAGCAAGTTTGTTCAGTAGACTAAATGTCAACAGAAAATAGGCAGGACTGTCCCGCATCATCCTTTCTTTTCTACCAGCAAAATGTAGCCAACAACGTTTTTGAAGTTTAAATCTTGATCACAAAGATTTTGGTCAGAAGTGACAACAAGAAAGAAAAGAAATAATATCCAGATGTCCATCAAAAATTCCATTTCATCCATTTTCCATCAAGCTTTATCACGCTGGGGTCACGAGACGCTGCTGGTGCCCATCTCCAGCTGTCAGAAATTAATCTCTGGAAATGATCTAAAAAGCCAGTCACTTCCTGTGGATCTTACCTCAATTTTGGGAACTTATTTGGTAACAGAATGACAAGTCAATCAAAAGCTTTTAAATAATCATATATTACAAATAAACAGACTCATTTATCTTAAGAGTATGCACAAACAGTATAAAGTAGAACGTTTTTTTTTTTTTAATCAAACTGTAGATAAAAAGTTCTTCTATTCATAAGAAAACAAAACATTTCTATCCAGGCTTCACAAAGCTGCAAATAGGTTTTCAAATGCTCCACCAATAAATCTATCTAAAAACTGCCTTGGAAAATTCATTTCTTCAGGAACCAACAGAAATTACCACAATAAAAGGAGCCAAATTTGAAAAATGACCTCAATAAAACTAGTTTTTGTGAAAATTACACAAGTTTTTCAAATGACAGAAAAGCTGTTTTGATTTTTCTTTACCGGCAGCCAAATGCATTTCGATGAGATGTCAGCTGAATGTTCTCCAAATTGCATCTAATCGGAGCACAGAAATTACCACGATGCCCAAGGGCAAGGCAATCAATGTCAAAGATGCAATGTGAGAGCTCACAGAGGACTATACACTCAAACGCTTGCTGTGCAGAGGTGTTGGATTTAGCGGGAACAGTGTACTGACGGAAAGCACATGTCATCTTTACCTTTGCTCACATCTAATTAATAATTTTTTTAAAGCAGATTGCTTCAGCTGTTAAAGATGTTTCACTAGAAAATAGTAACATAAAAGGTGATTTACAGATAGTCAAGAGCTGCTGAACTTATTCTATTTCAGATTACAGCCCAAGCAAACAGAAAACATACCTTGATGCACTACAACGCTGAGCGTTGACAAAGGAAGGTGTTCAGGCTTTATGGATCGTTCTCCAACACAGTGACACAGACAACCTACGCTCAGCTAAAGTGATACATTTTTAAGAGTGGACTTTTTACATTAAAATGTGTCATTGTCATGAGCTAAATGCAAAAAAGACTTAAGGCCAGAACACAATGTGTTCGACTTTTAATCTTATTTTTTTCCATGTCACACTGACTGCGTACAGAGAGGCTCAGACTAGGCAGGGTTGGCAGATTTTTCAAATTTATCTCTGTGCTATACACAAATTAAAACTATTTTCCACATTTAACTTGGACAGATTATGAAAAGTTATTAAATAAAACAAATAAACAATCACCTGCATGTTCTATAACACCCTACTTAAAGGTATACTATGCAACCGGTGTTGATTTTCCAGCGAGGCTCCCCCCAGAGG